CTAAGGGTGGGCCTGTAGCTCAGTTGGTAGTGATTACCTAGCATGCATGAGGCCCTGGGTTTGATCGCTGGTACCGCATAGAACTGGGTATGGTAGCCTGTAATCCCAACACTTGGGAGGTGGAAAAGGATCAGAAGTTCAAGGTCACCAAGTATGGCGGTGTATCCTTGTAATAGCTACTACCCAAAGCTGTGGAGGTGACCCGCATCAATACATATTGTGCACAGAATAGTAAGTGGCACCCCGTAAATGCTGTATAAACATTCATTAATATCAAGACATGTGGCACACAACTTTAATCCCTGCAGAGGCAAACAGAGGCAAGCAGATGGATCTCTATGAGGTCAAGGCCAGCCTGGTCTACATACCGAACTGCAGGCCAGCTGGGGTTACGGGGAGATCCTGTCTCAAAAAAAACAAAAATAGGGGCTGGAGAGATGGCTCAGCAGTTAAGAACACTGACTATTCTTGCAGAAGACCTAGGTTTGAATCCCAGCACCCACATGGCAGCTAACAACTGTCCATAACTCCAGTCCCAGAGGATCCGACAGCCTCTTCTGTCCTCCGTGGGCATTGCACAACATGGGTGTACTTACCTACATGCAGGCAACACACATATACTCACACATAAAATAAAAATAATAAAATTAAATAAATAAATAAATAAATAAACAAATTCAAAGTCATCTTTGGCTATATAGTGGTTTTAAGAGTAGCCTGGGATACATGAGACTTTGTCTCCAAAAACCAAAAACAAATTAAGTAACAGTATTAGTTCTAAATTATAATAGTAGACACAGGCTGGATGCCACTTGCCCATATACAGTTCCCAGCGAACAATTCTGCAGTCAACTTCAAAATAACATGGTAAGGACTAACATTACGTTTTTCTACTGAGGAGAAAACTGAGACTTAGAGGGACTTAAATGGTGTGTCCATGATCACCCAGCTGTCACTAAAGGCAACTGGAAATGCGCTGAAGAAAGTATCTCTCTGGATTGGCAGCTAAGCTTCTGGCCTCTCAAACTTCAAGTCACAATGAACATACACACACGAATCAAAACAACACATGGTCTCTGCTAATATGTGCAATATGGTCTTGTTAAGATTTACTTTTATTTATGTTTATGTGTGTGTGTATGCCATGTGTGTGCAGGTGCCCACAGAGGCCAGAAAAAGCTGGAGTTCCAGGCTGTTGTGAGCTGCCAGCCACGGGTGCTGGGCACTGAACTCGGGAAGAGCAGCGAGCACTCTCAACAGCTAAACCATCTCTCTAGCCCCACACGCAATAGGCTTTTATGCATGTGCAATGTTTATGTTTCTATGTACCATTTAAAAATGAATTAAATTTGAATAAAAGAAATAAAACTTGAGAAAAATGGCAACTGGAAGGTGTGGAGACTCTGTTCTCACACCCAACGATAATTAGGACAGATGGTGAGTCACGCCTAGGCTCCACTCTTGCCCACAGATACTAAGGAGTCTATCAGTTCCTCCACAAAAGAAAAAGCCACAGGCTGGAACAAAACTCTCCCAGGCAGCTGACACTTGGACCCAAAGGAGACAAAGAAAGGACATGGCATGATTGATCCCCATCATCCTCGTGTCTGCCATGGCTTCAAATTAAATCTTTTTAGAGGAACATGACCATTTTAATTTTTTAAAAGATGGAGGTGGGGGAGAGCCTTCTTACATATTTTACAAAATGCAATGGTCCAATGAAAAAGAAAGGCACAGAAAGGTCCCATCACCTCCTGATCAAAATGTACTTCACTAATGAATGGCCACCAGCCTCCAAAAAGTGGTCCCTAGATTCGCTAATAAAGCCCCATTATCCCTCACTGAGTAGACAGCATTTGCATAGCAAAGGGTGGGATGAGTGAAGTGCAGGACCCCACAGCCTGCTAATTAACATTCTGAAAACAGATTTTTATTTACATGAGACATTAAAGAATATTATGACAGTACTCATATGAAATCCGTTCTTCACTGCCTCAGATTTTCTTTCGTTTCAAGTTACAGTTTCTTTCCACTAGTCTTGTTTTAACACCTCCACGGAATATTTCTCTGGCGAGTGTTAGCAGGGAGGGACAGCCAGAAAGCAGAGAAATGAGTTTTAACTGAAACGAAAGCTGACATATCATTTTCAAACTCCTCACCCAGTCCACACAGAAGGGTACAGCGTGCCCTGCCACTGTGACCCCAACACAGGCACGCAAGAGTTTTACAGAAGGGAGATCAACAAAACATAAAATAAGGTTTCACTTGAAGTTCTATATTCCTGCCCTTCAGGCTATGGTCCCCAACAGTAACTTTCATCTGCAGCCCTGATGGCCAGGCTCAGCTCTGTGGGAAAATAACCAGACGGGGAGTCTCTCCTCACCCCACTCCAACTCCCAACCATAGCACACCTCAACAACTCCTGTCTCCCTGGTTTGAGCAACCCCATAACTCTAAGAAAGGATGCTGGGGGAGGGGGGGCAGAAAGAGAGCGCTCATAAAACAATGTCATACAATTGGACGACATCACGGGGGAGAATCACTAGAACCCAAGAACCTGGTACTTCACAGAGACTAGCTGTGGTTCTGCTCCTCACTGACCTCAAGGAGCCATGTTCCCTCCCATCTGACAAAGAAGTGATGCCTAGTGGTACCCTCCCCCCAGGACTAACCCACTGGTCAAGAGTCCAGTTGTGGAAACAGATTGACTGTTTCATTTCCCAACCCACCAGTGCCTCGGCTGTCTCCTCTATCTATCAGGTGATACCAGTACCCACTTTCTGGGGCTGGCATGAGGACACATGAAGACCCCACAACGCCTGATACATACATTCAATTAATACTATTACTCAGGCTCTCAGAGGACTCATGTGAGGTCCTAACAAAAATAACAGCAAAGAGGCAAGAGGATTATAAACACAAGGCCTAGCTCAAAAACAATACAAAGAGTGGAAAATCCTTTGGCATTACCATACACCGGGTCTTTTTTAAAGCATGTTACCTTTACTCCATCTACAGGAGGCTCTATGAGGAGAGGAAACTGAAGTTCAGGGAAGTTAAATGATTTACCCAAGTTCACAGCGTTAATAACTGGCACAGCTGGCATCTAAAACTAGTAGTTGAGCTTGCAAACAGCCACGATGGTTAATGATAACTAAACCAGCATAGTAACGATGATAAGGGTGCACTGCAAGGCCCTCACAGTGAGCCATGCACTTTTACCCTTCACAGATGAGGAAACTGAGATAGTGCTGGGGTTCAGATGTAGATGAGGGACAGTAAAGTCCTTTACAAAGTGATGAGTCATTAAAAAGAGTAAAAAATAGGGTACCACTACTAAATCCCTGGATTTCCAAGGAAACAGGGCTTTTTAAATTGATTATATACATATAATATAGACACACACAGTGATATACATCTAAAAGTCTGATAACTCATAACCCAGGCTTAAACTGGAGAGTAGGGGAGGTATGTGTGCTTTGGCAAGTTTGAGAAACTGTCTATCTTGTTTTCAAGTTGAATGTTTCAGTGAAAAACCAGACAGTACATTAACATGAAATATTGCCTTCCTGGTTTAAAAGAAGAATTGGTGGGGAGGGAATGAGGTGGGGGAAAGGTCAAACCCCTGGATTCACCAAGTTGGGGGTTTTCCCAGGTTCCCTGTAGGGAAATGTGATCCAAGTCTTGAGTGATTAAATGACTAACCTGGAAATTTGAAGACTCACACTAGGGAAGAGATAGCGATTCTTCCAAACCCAGGGAATACTGCTGTTTCTGAGAAGGCCGCAAATGTGAAGGATCGCACAGAGTTTGGAAAGCAATTTAAACAGTTAAAGCCAATCCCACAGTTTATGCCACGTAAAGGAATTTAACCTCTTCACTAATCCCTATCATCTATTTAAGCTTTAGAGGAAAAAAAAAAATAAGAAAATACGTATTTCTATTTACTTAAGGAATACTGGTTCCATCTTTTAAAATGAAGAATCACTCCCTCATTCACGTGGCAGGTTCCAGACCTAGAATTCTCAAGACACCATCCACAACAGCCACCTTATTCTTTACTAATGTGCAAAACTATTTTCCCCTTTGCACAATTTGAAGGCTCCACTCGGAGCCCACACTTTAAAGAATAAACTTATTTGCTAAGAGCGTTGCCCTTTCCTTTTGTGCCCTTACAATTAGAAACTTCATCTTTTCTCCCCGCAAGAATGTCAAGAACACAAGATAGAACATTGGACAGAAAGAGCTGATACAAAAGGTCTAAGAGGAACAAAAATGCCATAAACCTGATGGAACTGCAGGCTGCCTACAGCTGTGTTCTCAGACACACCTGGCAGGCTCAGGGAAAACAACATTAACTACACTTTACGAAAGTGTCTCAATATGTTAAGCAAATCCCTCAGTGCCACTCCTATGGGGTCAACGCAGTTTCAGAAGACCTCCTCCCCTCACCAGGCCCCAGCCTACTCACACTCAGAAGCTGAGTGGTATTGGCCCTGATTGAGCCAAGTGACCAAAACCAAGGGCACCCCAGGCTTCCTCCCCCAGAGCTATGGTTTGGGGGGGGGGGTCTAAGGAGTTGGTTTTTTTCCCCCAAGAAAGAAGTTATTTACTTCAGTTCTACTCCTCTCTAAAACCTTTAAGGTGTAAGGAGGCCTCAACAGAGGGGTCAGTGAGAGGCATAAGGAAATGTTCAACTTTTCCTGATAGGATCTCAGCAATGCTTTAAAAATAAATAGAACACTTGGATAAATATTGCAACAGGCAGAGCCACACCCTCCCACTAAGGATCACATTTGCCCTTCTCCCCAGTTGGATGCTCAGAACTCACATCAGGACCCTAAAATTGGAGACACAGGGTCACCTCAAAGACCTGCTCACCTGGACATGTACCACCCCATGCTGATACCCTCAAGGCACCAGAAACATCAGCTTCCAAAAGCTGCCAATGCTCCGTTCGAAACTTGAAATCCTAATATCCTATGGATACTTCTACTTACCTTGGGTTGCGCACGACGAGGAAATGCAACTTTGGGGTCAATCTGAAAAAAACAATAGAAAAAGAAGGAACTGGTGGAAGAGTCTGAAGAAAAAAAATACGACTGATCACCTAATTATTAATCACTCATTTCTCAGGCTTATATCTAAGCTTTTAGTAACTTCTTGGGCAATTCAAAAGTTCCTTCAGGTTTAGCTCAACTTTCACCATCCTTCCCTCAAAGGGACTCATCAAGTTCACCTTTCTGAAAGGCTCCACCATGCATTTTAGTGAGTGAAGCACTCCATAAACCAGAGTTCATGCGCTCTTATTCAGGCAAGGCGTTTCTCTTCCACAGACACTGAATATGAAACGGTACTTGGAGTTAAATTACAATGTGTAACTAGAGAAAAAGATGGGCACAGTGTTATCACAAAAAAAAAAAAAAACACAACCTCAAAATTAAATTTGTTTCTTCTAGCCCTCAGTTGCTTCTTCCCCCAGCACATCAGGAGAAAGATTCCAAAAATTTTGAAAATCAACAATATCGAAAAACTCCCCTACAGTTATCTAACATAAGCTCTGCTTGGATTAACTCACTTATTTTAGCAAAATAAAATTGCCCAGGATTATCAATAAGATGACTTTTAGGCAAGGTATGGTGGCTCATACTTGTAATCCCAGGACTTGAGAGGCTGAGATGGCAGTGATCTGTGGGTTGGAAGCCAGGCCGGGTCACCACAGTTGAGCTCTAGTACAGCCTGGGCTACAGAGTCAGACCTTGTCTCAAAATAAATCATTTTCCCTGTGGTTACATCTCGAAGAAATAAGGTATCAAAAATTATGGAATGCTTGGCATGCCTTTAATCCCAACACTTGGAAGGCAGAGGCAGGTCAATCTCTGTGAGTTCGTGGTCATTCTGGTCTACATGGCAAGTTTCAGGTCAGCGGGGGCTATATAAGGGCTACTTCTAAGTGGGTCTCAAAAAAATTAAAAATTTTAAAGAAAATGGTAGGGTCTAACTTGCTTCTTTAAAAAAAAATGTAATTAAAAGAAAAAGTATGTATATGAGCTGAATCTACCTGGATACTACAAACTACGGGACTAAAACTCCATGAACAACCAAAACCAAATTTAAAGGGCTATTGTGGGTAGGGTTAAAAAAGAAAAGGACTGGACAGAAAAGTGGGAATCAAATGCAACACTTGGGGTATTCCCCCACCCCAGTGGAAAAAGCTCCCCCATGCCACATCAGCTGCTTGTTTGCAAAGCACATGATTCTCCATCAGCAACTGGCTTTACAATTCCCACAGAAGCATCTGAGCAACCTAACAAACTGATGCGACAAGAAAAAAAGTTACTGCCTAGATAAAAAGGAGGAATTTAAAAAAAAATCCCACCGCTGGTTTTCACTAGATCTCTAAATGTCACGAATCTCTGAGCAAAATTCAATGTGGAGAATTCACTTGGCTATAACTGTAACTTATTTATGAGCTTTGGCTTTTGTATAAAAATACCCCCCCCTTTAAAAAAAACAAATCTGAATCTTGCTTTCAGTTCTGCCAGGAGAAGGGAAAAAAAAAATTCGCTTTGGGAGAAAGTACAGGAGATGAAATACGCACCCCAGATAATCCCTGGGTCCCCTAGGACCCTAGTAGGAAAGATACACAAAGACTTACCAGTCTTATTAAGGTAGTTTAAAGACCTAATAGAAATCTGCATTATGGTTTCTACCTTTAAGCATCACCTGAGAAATGAGAGATTACTTTCCAAAAACTAAAACAGACAAAATTCTTAGATCTAGGAAACTACCCTTTCATAAAGCTTAACATTACTGTGTCTACAGGTGTGCCCAGCACTGACTAGTTTGTCTACAAGAGAAATACAACAGGTGTGGATTTCCATTCTGTCACACAAACTAAGAGAGATGCCTCCCTTTGTTCCTTTTTAAAAAAAGATGTCCTCCCAAAGGCTTGGGGTTTAGCTGACCAACACATGGATACAGGGAGAAGTCACCTTGTTTGTGGGATAAAAGGTGAGGGACTTCTGGAGGGAGGGGCCTGGAGCTGGGGTGAGAAAAGTGCAGTGAAGAAAATAAAGTACTGAAAGGGGAAAAAAACCCTAAAATTACAAAACGAAAAGCCAATTTCAAATCGTATGTGTGTGCTGGTGGCATCAGCATGTTATACGGAGGCCAGAGTTCTCCTAAGTTTTCCACACTGCAATCTCGAAGGCAGAGGAAGGGGCAAAGCAAGAAGGCAAATCCAAACCTTTTGTACATCCCTATCAACTAGCTTTTAAAAAAAAAAAAAAATCAAAGAAAACTACCAAAAATGAAAACATTAGTTACTTAAGTACAGCGCTATGAACTGGCCCTCTACAAATCCTCTAGGAAAACACTAGGGTACTATTTTAGATGAGAATAGCCTTTACCTAAACAAAGCTTTTAAGGTAACAGTAAACAAGATCCTCGTTTCCATGCCAATAAACCAACCGCTTCTGTCTCCTGTCTCCTGCACTGAACGTTGAAACAAAGTCAAAAGCTAGGTTATACTTCGTGACCACAACATGTCTACAAAACAATGAGGGATGGAAAAGCTATTCCAGAGATGGCTATTGAGGGGATATTGAAGAATCCAACCCACCAGCACCCACGGAAACCAAATTCTAGTTCTCCTACCCAGGCAAAAGGGGTGGATGAAAAAAAAAAAAAATCACTGATTTCCTTTCAAATCTTCCTCTGAAATTTTACTAGCTTTGTGACATGTCTAACCAAGGTGTCAAGGAGAAAAAAAAAATTCTTCAGATATCCCTTATCACCCTAGAAACACTAATTCTTGAAATTAAATGATCTAAAAGTACAAAGAGACTGGGCTGCAAGCTATGACAAGTCCAGGACAGTTAATAAAGTGAGGAAGTGTGTGAGGTCTTGCGGGGGGGGGGGGGGGGTAAGGGGTAAGGGCAACACCCAACAGCTTTGATCATAAAGAAGGTGAGTGTGCAAAATCAATCCAAGTGCACCAAAGATTCCTAGGTTTTTCTTCTCCTCTTCCATTCAACATTTAAGATAAAAGGACTTGGAACAGCGTTTCATTCTGCTTATGTTACAGAAGAGGAAACTGAGGCCAAGTTTACAATGGGTAGCTGGAACTCTAACTCCATCCCCTGCCTCACCCCCATGAGCCCACAACAGAGGGGAACCTGTACAGCCTGGAGTGACATAGCCTTGAGGCCTGTGTTTCAAGCAGAAGAATCCTGGGGAGATTCTGGTAGACATACAAGGCAGGGAAGAAAAGCAGGAAGCCAGCACAGGGGCTATTAAATAAACCACTGCAAACTCCCCGGCCTCCTCGATCTTTTCATTTATTATTCCAGACTGACGCTCTTTCTTCTCTTACTCTCTGACCTCCACCTAGCAACTCTGCTCTCTCAACTCTGAATTTTCAAAAACTTCTAATGCTGTAAAAGTACCACCATTCAAATGAAAAGCTATGAGCAAAAGGGGAGGGAGGGAATCACTTTGAAACCCAAGGCCTTATCAGCCTTCAATTTCATGCCATCTGGAGTCACCCCACTGGATGCTCGATTGGCTCAATGGAGCCTTCTCAAACCACATTCCAAATCCCAAGTGTCCCAACAGAAACCTGTAGCCTGGACCTAAGATGAGCCCCCTCCCCTCTTTCCCACCCCAGCCCCCCTCTGCCAGGAAGCAGACTGTGTGCCTTCTACAAGCTGATTCCTGTGCCATGGTTGGTAAGGCAGGCAGTGCTGGGCTGACAAAGAAAGTTCCATTTGCTCTCCGGTGGACTTTCTGCAAGGTCCCCTGGCCGGGAGGAGGCTAGCCTCTCCCCGGGAACCGAAACCCCTCCCCCGAGCCTTGTCCAGGCAGTCACTGAAGCTGCAATGGGGCAGACTCTTAAAATGAAACCCCTCAAACCAGCCCCAACCGCAAACTTCTAAGCCAACTAACTCGCTAGCTCTGTTTAAAATCACCCACTTCTAGCATAGAAGCAAAAGAAGGCGCTGTCCCTTTAAACAGGGCTGTCAATGCCTAGACCATTCCTGAAAAGGGGTAAACAACAACAAAAAGCCACCTACCGTCTTGGAATCTAACTCATGGTGGGGCTGACCTAATACTTTATCTACACTTGCTGGGTCTGCGAATGTGACGAAACCGAAGCCTCTGGAAGGAGACAAAGAGGGAGAAAAACAAACAAGAAAATGTGACACCATTGAAAGTAACAAGGAGTGAGACCCTAATGCACAATGGGGTGCCAAAGTTGTCCCCACACACCCCCAACCATTCCAGATCCCTCCATTCCCCTCTGGCCTACAGCCGTCTACCTCTCAAGGAAAAAATGCCAAGGTTAGTGGGGGAAGTGGGACGGGGGCAGGGCGGCTGGAGGTAACTCGGAAGACCGGTGCCTCCTCGGTGGCCACCTCAGTTTCCTCTCTTCTTCCCTTTCTTAAGGCTTTGTTTTATTCCGAAGGAAACCCAGCACTAAGAGGCGATCCACCCAGCACCCCCACGGGGGGGGGCGGGGAGGGGAGACCAGAGTTTGTGAGTGTGAGGAAGGCATACATTTCAAATTTTAAATTAAAAAAAAAAGACTGCAAAGTGGATGAAGCTGGATGTCATTTTAAACAAGAGAACAGAAGCGACAGGAAAATGACTTCAAGAGGGAGAGATGGTCGACTCTGAATCCAGAGTTCAGCCCTAATTAACAATAACCTTTGGGGGTGGGGGGGGCACGTTCCAGACCAGCCACGCGCCTGAGCCCCATTCTAAATCCGCTCAGCTACTTCCGAAGACACCTTCAAAAATAAAACTAAAACTTTGTTCTAAAATAAAGACAAAATCCAGAAGGGAAAGCGTTACCTGGAGCGTTTCGTAGTGGGATCTCTCATGACCATACATTCTCTAATTTCTCCAAATTTGCTAAAATAGTCTCTAAGGCTATCTGTAGAGAGAGAAACAGAGAGATGGGGGGGAGAAGGTGTGGAGAGAGAGAGAAAAAAAGCAATGCAAATTTTGATCAAGGACAAAAACCAAAAGTAGTTTTATGCTGTTATTCTGTTTTGTTTTTGCAATTTTTCTGCACACGCGGGGGAAATTCGGCAACAGAGGTCGCGTAGAGGGCTCGAAAGGATCTGCTATTTAAAAAAATAACCTTGCACAGGAGAAGTGGGGAGCCAATGGCGGGGAGGGGGGGCTCCTACACTGGGATAACAAAGAGCAATAAAGAAGCCAAGAAGGGGGGGACACAGGCGTCCCCCCCTCGCTCCCTTACCTGGTGAGGTCTGCCAGCTCAGTCCACCGATAAACATTTTACTAGAGGGAGAAAACATAACAGAAGTGAGCACCGATGTCAGATCGGCCATTTTGACGTGTAACTTACAAAAGCTAAAAGGAAAGCTGGGGGGGAGCGGGAGGGCGCCAGCCGGGAGGTGGGCCGAGGGAGAGGGTGCCGGCCCCACGCCACCCCAAGGTGTGAGAGCTCCCGGGGGGCGGCGCGGGGAAGCGGGGGGCGCGCGGATGCCCGCTCGGCGCAGCTTCGTCCCCGCCGCTGCCTAGGCACGGCGGCGCGGTGGGCAGCGGCTGGAAACTTACCCGGGGTCGTGCTGGGAGTCGTTGGCGCTGCCGGAGGTGCCCGGGCTCCCATTCGCCTCCATCGCGCAGCCCCC